CAGCAAGGATCAGGTCTTTGTGCGCATGGGCTACATGGCCTCCGAGCTCAAGCGCTTGGCCTCCAAGGTGCACAAGAATGAGCAGAGAACGTCGTTCCTGCAGGTGAGCGAGGCCTGGAGCCTGGCACTTCATGGAGATTTTCCCCCTGGTGTTTTTTCCCGCCAAACCCCTCCTGCCCACCCTGAGGTGGACATCATTAGCGTGGCTGGGTGGGAGGTGTGGGTGGCCCAGGGCTGGCCATGGTCCTCACACTGCCAGTGTTCACCCTCCAGACGTTGTGTGAGACGCTGCACAGTGAGAACAAGGAGCTGCGCACCAAGCTGGAGCATGACCTGGAGCAGAGAAACCAGGCTCTGGAGAAGCTCAGGTGAGGATGGGCTATGTGGATGGTAACAGGGCTGCTCTGGAAGCATCTTCCTGCTGACCCATCTCTTCCTCCCCACAGGTGTGAGAACCAGGAGCTCCGGAGGATGGTGACGCTGAGCAACCAGGACAGTGGGAAGAGGGAAGCTGCTGAGCAGCAGCAGGTGAGAAGGCAGCATCTCTTTGGAGAGGGCTGGGAAGGAGGCAGGGAGCCCGCTGACACATCAGCAAAGATGGCCTCATTTTAATCAAGCCCCCAGTTTGTCTCAGTATGACCAGCAGGACTTCTCAGGGTCTCAAGGGGAAGGGGGAGGCAGTGGGAGGGGAACTGGCTCGAGTTTAGCCGGCCTTGGGCACAGCCTCCACAAAAGCCCTGAGGGTCCCCCCCGTGCGCGTCCAGCAGAGCGGGGCCATGGTGGAGAAGGCGCCGGGCAGAGAAGAGCTGGAGGCCAAGGAAAAGAAGGTGAAGATCCTGGAGCACCAGCGCAGGGAGGTGAGGACCAGGCTGGGAGGGAGGCACCACTAAGGAGGCGGGGAGTGGGCAGAGTGGGCACAGGGCTGGGATGGCACCGAGAGACTGGGGCAGGGCTTCAGAGTTGCAGGGGAGCACTGCTGGAGCTGGGATCTCCATCCAGCTGGTCCCCAAAGTGTTTTCATGACAGGAGTTTGCTGGGGACCACCACAGCTGGTTCGTAGCAGGATTTGGGCTCCTGTTCAGCCATCCCTCTCTCCCTGCAGCTGCTGGAGGTGAATAAACAATGGGATCAGCATTTCCGCTCCATGAAGCAGAAGTACGAGCAGAAGGTAGGGCTGGGTGCTGGCTGTGGGGACTCTAGGGAAACGGTGTGGGGAGGTTTGGGGGCTGCCTGTGCCTCCTTTCCCCCAGTGTGGATCCTTCCAGGCCAATGTGCCCACTCCCTCCCGGCAGGTCACAGACCTACACCAGGAGCTGGCTGAGGCCCGCAGGGCAGTGACCGAGCTGGAGTCGGAGCGGGAGCAAAAGCAACGGGATTTTGACCGCAAGCTGCTCCTGGCCAAGTCCCGGATCGAAACAGAGGAGGCAAGTCCCTTGGGAAGGGTGTCAGGGAGCTGCCAGCCCTGTTGCCCTGCCCTGGCTGATCTCCCCCCACCCTGGGTCCTGCAGGCAGAGAAGGAGAGGCTGGCCATGGAGGTGAGGGACCTGCAGCAGAGGATGCGGTTCCTGCAGGAGCAGCTGGCTCCAGTCACCAGGCAGCGAGAATACCAGGAAAAGGAGATCCAGAGGCTGAACAAGGTGGGGGCCAGGGCACAGCCCCTCAGTGCCAAATGTCTTCAATGTTCTCTAGTCTCTCTCAAATCCAAAACTGACCCTGATAACCCACTCTTGCTCAGGCAGAGACTTGTGTCTGCCCACCACTTGTATGAGGCCCACCACATTCCTCTGGGCTCCGAGGAAGGGAGGTTCAAGGAGGGTCTGTTTTCCTTCTTTCCTCTGCCCAGTTATACCCACTTGCCATGCTAGGCACGTGCCCAGGGTCCTGCAGTGACATCTTGGGCACTGAACTTGCTCTGAGCCTGCTCCCTCCTCTTCCTCTCTAGGCACTAGAAGAGGCCCTGAACGTCCAAGCCTCTCCACCACCCATCTTTGCCATGGAGCCAGCAGGGAAGCTGCCACAGCAGGAGCTGCTGACCCAGAATGAGCTACTCAAGCAGCAGGTAGGGCAGGACATGGAGCCACTGGGGATGGGCAAGGAAATAAGTGTCCTGAATTTCCACGGCAAAGAGCCCTGTGTGGCAGCAGCAGCCCAGCAGCTGAGCAGGGGTCAGTGCTGGGGTCGTGGGGGTTGGGGATCCAACTCAGCATCCTCCAGGCATTCATCTGGAAGGACTACAGCCATGGGCCATGGAACCAGCCCACCTGCCTTGGCATGGCTGGTGGAGTCAAGGACAGCAGCACAGTGATGAGGTTGCTATGGGGAGGTGTCTGCCCTCAGCCAGATGCACCCACATTCTTCCTTCCTGCCAGGTGAAAATTTTTGAGGAAGACTTCCAGCGGGAGCGGAGTGACAGGGAGAGGATGAATGAGAAGAAAGAAGAGCTGAAGCAGCAGCTGGAAAAGCTGCAGAAGCAGTTGGTCCTCTCCAACAACCAGGTGAGCAGTGCTGGGTGCTACTAGCAGCACTCTGGGAGCCCCATGTCAACCTCATGTGTCTCAGAAATGCTCGCCCCCAGTGTCACAGTCCCTGTACATACCTAAGAGTAGGGGCTGAATGGGAACAGGAAGGCCAGAGGGGTGTTTTTTCTGCTGCTTGTCACTGCCAGAGCATCTCCTTTCATTCAGCTCATCTTTCTGCACCTCTTCTGGGAGTCTGATGGGGGGAGACTGATGCAGACATTCCCTCAGCAGCACTAACTCATGAAGATGGGGGGTGGCAGGGTGGGCTCTGCACTAACCCCTCTTCCTCCCAGCTGCGAGCCTCCAAAGACGATTGCCAGAGGGAGAAGGAGGAGAAGGAGAAGCTGAAGAAGCTGCTGAAACAGCACAAACAGGTAGGGGTGGGAGGAAACCCTGTTTGGGCAGAGGGCCTGGGGGCTGCAGGTGATGGGTGGTGGTGCGGGGGTGCTGGTGGGCTGCCCTTGGGACCTCCCCAGCATCTGTCCTGGCTCCTTGCAGGCTTCTGGAGAGAGGCTGCACGCCGAGCCAGGGCCGGGGCCGCTGGGGCCAGCCTGCCCCATGTACCAGTACCAGTACAGCCCCCCCATGGCTCACCCCATGTACCACGGCTACGATGAGTGGCAGCAGATCCGATACCCGCCAGCCATGCCGGGCGAGCACACGCAAGGACAGAACTTCCACCACTTTCCCCCGGTGAGATTCCACCTGTGCCAGCAGGAGGGGGAGCAGAGGGTGACATGTGGGAGGGTCTGGGGCTCCCTGCTCTCCAGGGTCACTGAGTCCCAGAGCAGGGAGCTGAGCACGTGTCCTGGTGGCGTGTGACTGCTCAGCCCCTTTCTTCCCCCTCCTCCTCCTCTTCACACACTGTCAGTCAATCAGAGTTCAGCCTCATGATTCACATGCCAGGTAATTCCCTGTCTCTGTTCCCACAGCCTGAGTACCCCTGGCGCCCGCCCTGTGCCATGGCTCGCAGCCAGAACGCCCAACCAGTGGCCGGGGTGAAACCAGTCCCCAAGGACTTGGGTAAGGCTCAGACCCTCCCTGACAGGGGTGCCCATCCTTCACTCTGAGACTTGGGGCACTTGGCTAAACACATGGGGGAGGGATGGGGGCACAGCTTTCCAGGCAGCAGCCATTTTCCCTTAGCCCCCACATCTAATCAGCTGAGGGGATGATTTTGCCATGGGGTTTGTCCCTGCTGCATCCCCACAACACCTAAAGTCAGGCTGAGCCCAAACAGCTCATGGAGTTCTGGCAGTTGGTGCTCAGGGATAGCAACCATGTCATGGCTGGCATCCCTCTTGTGGGGCTTGTGTGAGGATGAAGAACTGTGCTTACCCTGTGCCACCCCTCTCTTGTGTCTCAGAACAGGCAGGTCCCGGATTGCCCTAACGCCAAGGACCGGCCACGCTCCGACACCAGTGGAAGAGGAGTAGGGTGTGTGTGTGTGCCCGTGTGTGTGTGTCCAGGAGCTTCCTCCGGCTGCCAATGCCTGTGCAAGGACATGTGCTGCACGTGGGGGGCTCAGCAGCGCCTTCCCCCAAGGATATCATGAAGGAGGGACTGAAGGGGCCATCGTGGTGACAGCCAGCATGGGGCCAGTGCCCTGCAGCCTTCCCCACGAGGAGCCAGGCCTGGCCTGGCAGCGCTGTAGACCTAGCAAGGTCTTCAGGGAAGAGGAGCCAGTGTTTCCCAGGAGCTGCCCCAGTGCAGAGCCCCTGGAGGAGTGGGTAACAGCGGGGACTCTCCCGGTGGTGGGAGACCCCACACTCGCAGGCAGGTGCTGGCCGCAGCCATGGCCCGGCCTGAGGGTGGTTGGTGTCTTTGTATTTATTTAAGGACTGAAGTGTGGCTGAGTCTCTCTGGTTTTGTTCTGGGCAGCCTCTGTGTGGGGAGGGATACCAGGGCTGTTGGTCCCCATGAGCTCGGAGACAGACTGAGTGCAAGAGGACCCCAGCCCTTGCTTGGGCATCCCAGGATCTGTTGCCCCAAGTGCATACCCCCACCTCTCTCTGTGTGCTGAGCTCAGCCCCTCAGCCTCCCCTCTTCTGTTCCCCACCTCTGCCAGGGCAGGGAAGCCCCTGCTGCCCCCTCTGCCTTTCCATGCAGCAGTGGCCTTGGGGACAGTCTTTGACATTGCACACAGCAAATCTTGCTCCAAGAAATAGGTCTGCAGAGGAAAAAACAAACACAACCCGGTTTCTGTAAGCGTGGCTGTCACAGGTGTGACAGCAGGAGGCACAGGATTCCAGTATGCTCCTCAATAGGGGTTGTCCCTGATCCTGCCCCCTGCCCCGTTTGCCCACCTGTGCTCTGCACTCACTCCCCATCCTGTCCCCAAATTCTGGGCTATGATAATAAGTCCATGTCTGCAGTTTACTGTGGAAAAATTTTGAGTTACTCCAGTCAGGTGCTGCTATCCCCAGGCTGGCCACTGTGTCCCCCACTCTACCTCCCCTACCCCTGGCCAACACGTGGGGCTGCACATTTGCAGAGCCTTTATTTGGTGTCTCTATGGTGGGTTGGTGAGGGGCTGGCCACCCCTGCCCAGGAGAGCAGCACATCTGTGTGCCAGGACCACGGGCAGCCTGAATGCACTGAAGAGCTGCTCCATGCTCGGCACGGTCAGGCCAGGCCCGCCCCAGCCAAGGGCTTTCGGGCCAAGCCTTCATGGAGATGTGGTCTCCACCAGGGACAGCCAGCCCCTGCATCCTCCCACTGCCCGGAATGGTGGAGAGGAGGGAGCAGGCTGGAGGCCATGGGATGTCACCACCAGGGGTGGAGGAGGGACACAGGGATATTGCAAGTATTTACTGCATCACTGAGATCTCTGCCATGAGATCCTCAGCCCAGCATCCTGACTGGGGGGTGCCAGAGATGGGAGCAATGGAGGGAACAGGGCGTGATTCCTGCTGCTGGGGGACATCTGGGGAGGAGATGGAATGGGAAGCTGCCAGGGGGATACTGGCCCTCATGCCAGCAGCCCGAGGCTCTACTGGTCCTGCTGTTCATCGTGGTTCTCCTGCTGCCGCCGCCTCAGGTAGGTCATGATGTTTTTCTTCACGACAGCGATGTTGGTGCGATGGTACCAGCGCATGATGGGCACGCCCTCGGGGCTCACCAGGAACTTCTCGAAGTTCCACTTGATGTCATGGTTCCGCAGAGGCTCCCAGAAGAGTCTGTTGGGGTTCCCAAAGTCCTCCGCCACCGGGGGACAGGCGTTCTGCAATGGGGAGCCAATGCATCACTACCTTGCCCCTCCAAAAAGCAAACTGGGTCTGTTCCCCTCATCTCCCCTTGCCATAGCACCCACCTTCAGGAAGGTGAAGATCTTCTGCTCCTTGGCCCCGTTCACATCCCCTTTCTGGAACAGCTGGAAGTTGGGAACAAAGCCACCTCCTGGCCGGACGTACCTACAAGGCAGGGGAACAGGATGTTGTGCAATGGACAGCTCTGGGTGCTTGCACAGGGGTGGTGACAGGACCCCAAAATGCTTGTGTGGGTCCAGAGCCAGCAGCAGCTGCAGCCTATGCTCCCACTGCCTGGCTGGGACCCCAGCAGAGCCAAGGGAGTGAGGTGTCCCACTGCCCCCACCACAGTACTCACTTAAGTGCAGGGAGGATCTCCGAGTTCTGGCCAGGTTCCTGCTTCCCAAATTGGTTGGAGGGGAAGCCGAGGACCACAAGCCCCTGGTTTCTCAGCTCATCTTGTAGTGCATTCAGTTCTGCATGCAAGGAGAGCCGGAAGGGGGTTAGCAGAAGGCTGGGCACATCTCCACACCTGCACTTAGCATCTGGGACAATTCCAGTCAGGCCGGGCCCTGGGGAGCAGGCATTAACCCTTTCCCCAGCTCCCCGAAGCAGAATGGACCATGGGGCCCTGCCCTGCCTCCGAGGTGCCTGTGCCCCGCAGGACCCTTACCAACATACTGCAGTGTCAGGCCTCAGTATGTGGCTACGTTGACGAAGAGCACTGTCTTCCCCTTGTACCTCTCGAAGGGGATATACTCGTCCCCATCGATGGTCAGGGCCCCGTAGTTGTAGATTGTGTCGTTCACCGACTGGTAGCAGTCCACCTGTGGGGTGAGCAGCATCCCGTGGGAGCGGGCTGGGGGCTGCCGACCACCCCGCTCCCTGTCCCCACGGCCAGCAGGGCAATGGGGACGGCTGCCAGCCTTGTGTCCCCTGCCCTGCATGCCGCTGGCAGCAGCCACGCTCCAGCGTGCCAAGGTCGCGGTGGTGGGACAGGCTGGCTGGGGCGTGCGGATGCACGGGGGTCTGGCTGCAGCTGGGGGAATGTTTACCGAGCAGGGAGCAGCAGGAAAGCGAGTGGCTGCAAAACAGCTGAAGCACGGGAGAGGCCAGCACCAGAATCCCGAGGCTGTGGGCAAGTGAGCAGGACCCACCAGCCCTGGGGGACAGGGCAAGGCAGGGGGTGCCGGTGGGATGGGGAACGGCTGGGAAGGGTCGGGCTGGAGCAGCCCCTGCATCCGGGGCCACAGGGGTTAACCCAGAGGAGCCCCCCTCCTGTCCCCGCTAGGGTAGCCGGGCTCAGCCAAGTGCCACCGAGGGGCTATTTTGGGAGCTGGCAAGAGGTGAAGTCACAGGGGCTGCTCTCGAGGAATGAAGGCTCCTGGGACTGTGGGGTCCGTCCCTGTGACAAGGTGGAGAGCCTGGCTGCGGGGGTGACAGTGCCCCTGCCCGCTGGGCTGTGAGGACACGGTGGGTTCCACACCTTCCCGACATGGGGGAACCCACCCGGACATTGCAGGGAAAAAGTCCCCGTGCTCTGTCCCTGAGGAGGTCACTTGGGGGACACATGGCTCTGTCCCCAACCCCAGGACAGAAATTCTTGGCCCTTGGCAAGAACCAACTCAGAAAATCTCCCCGTGATCCAGGCACCGGGATTGTAGGGGGAAGGAGAGGGGCTCAAAGGGCCGCCGTGCCCCATCCGTGCCCCGAGGAGCGCTGCAGAGAGCCGGGGGAGCAGGCGCGTCCCCAGGGTGCCACACACCCCCTAAACCCCCCTGAGCGCCCCGGGGGTGTCCCCCTCGTCTTACCTTCTCCTTCTCCTCATTTCGCCCCAGCTGGACGAGCCCAGCCAAGAAAAGGGGCAAAATCCAGATGCTGCGGGAGCAGCCCCCCATGGCTGCTGCGGGGCGCGGGGTGCCAGCACCCCCCGACAGGCCGGGGCGAGCGGCCGGGACAAGCGCCGCTGTCGCCCGCTGTCACCTCGGAGCCCGGCGGCCGAGAAATAGCTGCGGGCTGCGGGGGGGGAGCCAATGGCCGGGGGGGGCCGGGCCGGGCCGGGCCGCGTTAACCGTGTGGGCTCTGGGACGGACACACGGACAGACACCGCCCGGGGGTGGCACCACGGCCTGGCGGGGACCCGGGGCGCCCAGGGGGACACGGGGCAGTGGCATGTGCCGAGGGTTTATGCAACGTGTTACCCGAGCAGGGATTAAACCCGCAGGGTGCGGGGAGACATGTCGGGGGAAGGGAGGAAGGAGGTGACGGGGTGGGGGAGGAGAGTTGTCCCATCCTGCTCAGGCCACCCAGCCAGGGTGACATTTCCCCCCGAGCGGGGTGCTGGCTCCCGAGGAGCAGGAACCAAACCCAGCAGCAGCCTCGGGGAGGCCGGGCTGGGGTTCGGTGGGTGCCCCCCCAGTGCTGCTCGGGCTGATCCCGCTCCTCTCCTGTGTGCCCCGTAAAGGAAGGTGCTGCTAGAGGCAGCTCTGGAGGACGATCCCTCCTGCCAGGGGTTGTTCTGCAGCTGTGGCTGCACGGTGACCCTGCTGGGGTCAAGGGCAGGGCACTGCTGGGTGTCCCCAGGGGCAAGAGTTTCCAGGGTCCTGTTTGTTTAGCCAAGGAATGTGACCATTTACCCTGGGCTGTCTCCAAGGAAAATATCCGTGGTGAGGAGTAAATTCCCTGAAATCCCCCCCACCCCTCCCCCCCAAAATTATTCAGTTGGAGAATGAACTGGCTGGAGGGGAGCTGTGGGAGTTGTGGTTTTGGGGTGAGGCTGGCCTGGGGTGGAGGACAGTATGGGGTGGCAGTGGATGAGCCTTGGGGGGACCGTGAGTGCCAGGAGGAGGTTTGGCTTTACTAGAAAGCAGGGTCAGCCCTGCCTCCATGCTGTCACTGAGCCAGCTGCTGGAGATGCCATCAAGGAAGGGGAGTGAGGCCATGGGTTAAGAGGAAGCTGGGAGCAATCTCCCAAACTGTGTTCTTCACCAGAAGGAACACCATGTCCTGGGAAAGGCTGGTGTCGTGAGGCTCCAACTGCAGCCTCAGCTGGAGTGGGAGGGCGGGGGGTTGGGCCCATCTCCCAGGCGCACAGAAAAGCCATGGAGCAGGAGAGCTGTGGGTTTCTCTGTCACTGGCAGCATTTCCCAAAGCTTTAAACCTGCACTGCTACTGGGGGAATGGCTTAGCTCTGACCTCCCTGGACCCCAAGCAGTGTGGGGTGTTCCCCCAGGTCCAGGAAAACCCTCAGGGTGCTCAGCCACTGCCTGGGGACTGCACAGAGCCCATCACAACATGCCAAGAGCCAGGCCAGGCACAGGGGTGTTCCAGTCGACTCTCACAGATATGGCTGTGAGTGGAGCGAGGTGGCTCCCTGCCAAAACCTGCAGGAGCCAATATCCAGGTTAGACCCTCCCCACCTACTTCCCTGGCTCTAGGGAGGTTTGAGGCCATGGAGCTGCAGCTCCTGGCCTGCATGTTCTGCATCAACAAGGACCAGTGTGTGCCCAGTGCTGTGCTCCCCAACACAGCTCACACTTCTGAGCCTGACCAGGGCTTGAGCCACCTCCTGCAACAGAGCTGGGACAGGCTGCTCCGGACTGTGCTCCCTGCCCCACTATTTCCCACACAGGAACAGCCACCCACATCCAGTTATAGTGGTGTGTGGCACAGTGTGGTTGTGTCCCTTCCACGTGTCCCTGATCCCTGCCATGAGCAGTGAAAGTCTGAGTCACTCCTGAACTCAGTTTTCCTAAAACCAAAATAAAAACAAGGGACCCGTTTGTCCAACTCCCGCCTCCTTGGGTCCCAGTGCCAAATCAGCCTTGGTGGAGGTTGGGAATGGGGAAGGAGTTAATGAGACATAGCCAATGGACTCCCTCTCTGCCACTGATCTTCCCTGGCATCCTGGGCATGTCACTCAGTGTCCCCAACGTGATGGACCCCCCTCTCTGCCACTGATCTTCCCTGGCATCCCGGGCATGTCACCCAGTGTTCCCAACGCACTGTTCCATGCCATGCCAGAGGCTGTATGCTGCAGGACTGGGGTTCCCCACCCCAAAAAGGAGCCGTGCAGGGCAGGCTGACCCTCGCACGAACTGTCCTGCTCGGTTGTTTTTCCACCAGAGCCGGGCGGGAGCCAGCTCCCTCCTGCTGCAGATGTTTGGCAGGAGTCCGGGGCGGGAGGCCAGGCGCTCCCAGCTCCCCTCCGCCATGCTGCCACTGCCACCAGCCTGCCTGGCTGTCCCCTGAGCCGCGTGCCGGGGCTGCAGACACCTTGTGCCAGGCTGCAGGGCCCCCGCTGAGCACGGGGAATGTGAAAGCAGCGGTGGGGACCATCTAGTGCTGCCTGCTGGGGTTATTGCAGAGCTGACGGAGGAGTGTTTTCATGCAGAGGGACAGGGATGGTGCCAGCAGCGTGGCAGGACAGCGGCAGGAGCTTGGGCAGCAGCAGGCAGCATTGCCCTGGCTAGCAGCAGTGCAGCTTCCCTCTGGCAGCCTGGCCTGGCATCAATCCCAGGGCAACCTCTGAACCTTTGTTCTAAGAGTATGACAGGAAGCAAAGCAAAGCAAGCTCTGCCCGGCGAGAGGCCCCAGCTCTTTGAGCACCAGGCTTCCCCAGGCTGCCAGCCCACAGCTCGCCCAGCCCTCGCTGCTCTGCCCCAGCCCGTGTGCTCCCACACACTGCCCTGCTTCAGCAGCAGCCTCCCTGCTGGGCATGGTGCCCAACACCCTTTGGAGTGGGGGTTCCCCTTCCCGAGTGCCCCCAGAGCCCCCAGGCTATGTGCTCTGCCCCCTTCAGCACTGCCATCCCATCCTTTTCCAGGGGAAGGCTTGCTCCCTGTAGAAATGCCCCTGGCCCATTGTCCCCCCTTCCCCTGCAAAGAGAGGCTGCCCAGAGGCAAGGTGAGAGCCAGCATCCTGTGTCCCCTTCTCCCTTCTGGGACTGCCACATCTGCCTCCCCCAGCTGCAGCCCCCACGGGCCAGCAGCCAGCTCCTGGCACATGCCAGCACCTCCAGGGAAGCATCCCAGTGCATGCTGAATCACTTCAGTGCCCACATCACCCTGCCTGCTACAGCGTCACCGGAGCAGGACCTGCTTCTCAACTGAAAGGCATCTTTCCTTGGCAAAACTCCATGCAAACACTGCCTCTAAGCTCCAGCTCTGTCCAGGCACTGAAGCCAGGGCCACAGGGGGATTTGGTTATCTCATTCCATCCTGGAGGAGGAATTTCTAACTCGACAGTGTTGGAAATCCAGTTTAAATTCATTCTCCGCCATCTTAATGCTTTAAAAAAATGTCGTGGCTTCTCCCTGCTTTACCTCTGCTGCCATTTAGCTCCATGTTTGTTGTTGTTACGAGCAAACTCATCTTTCCAAGGCCTTTCCTGGAAATGTTTGCTAGGGGTTTGAAACTTCCCAGCAAATTCATACCAATAAAGGAAATCTCTCATTTCCCTCTGCTGCTTTTGACAAGGGGAAGGCAGAGGTAGGAACAGCAATCATGGATGGTTGCATGGATGGGGGGGAGGTGTTCCATGCTTTTCCTGAATTTCGCTCCAAACCAGGCTTCCTTCCCAAATCACTCCAATGTTTGTGGCTTCTCCCCTATTCCTCTCATAGCAAAGCTGCTCAGCTCTGATTCCTGGTACTGCTGGCCATCCCCACATTGTCCCCAGGGAAGCAATGCTGGGGTGGAGCACGGGAGAGAGCAGAGCCAGGGCTGCTCCCACCCTGCACATCTGTAATGTCCTCCAGCTGCCGTTGCACCGTGCCAACAAGGGAGGGAGAGAGGAAGAAAAACAGGAAAATAACTCTGGTTATTTGCCTCAAACTCTGCAGTTCGAGAGGGGAAGAGAGAGTTGACAGCTCAAAACAGAAATATGTTTTTTGGCTGGGCAAGGAATAAGTGTCTGCTCCCTCCCAGCACAACCACAGCCAGGGGCTCCAGTGCAGGCACTTCTGCTCCCCAGGGTCTGCATCCTGGTGCTAGGCTCCCTCCCCAAGGTGGGAGGTGTTTGCCCAAGGTCCTGCTTCCCTGGGAACCTCCTGCCCCTCTGATCCCACCACCCAGTGCTAACCCAAATCTGGCTGTTGTGGATCAAGCACACAGGGATGGCACAGTTTCCAACACTGCAGGGCTGGTTGCTCTTTTCAGCACAGAAAATAGGATTTAAACAATTCCCACCAGCATCACTGTAGTATTTCCCCACATCCTTCCTGATTCATGCTGTTCCTTTTGTGACCTTCCTTGCTGTGAGTCACCAAGATGCTGTTTCAGCCCCGGGGCTCCTGCCACGCTGACCCTGCACGAGGCTGGTGTGAGGGAAGTGGTGCTGGTCACCCAAGTGAGAGAAAAACAGCCACAACCACTGTCAGAAAGTCCTGAGGGATCCTTCCCCACCCACGGGGTCCAGACTGAGGTTTGCCCTCCTGGAGTGTGGAGCTGAGCTGGCAGTGAGCTTCCTGCTGGGCTCCAAGGCTGGGGAGAACGCCAGGGACCTTGAGGCAAGGCAGTGCACGAGGTCAGAGCAGGGAGGGTTTCTGGAGAGGCTGCAAAGTATCCCAGATCCTGCAGAGCCAGACACCACCCATAGTGTGGACAGAGCTGCACGACACACTCACATGAAGGATAAAGTCCATTTATTTCATAACAAAGGGCAATACAAGAGCTTACATGATCCCTTGCCACTGGCTGGGCACAAACCTGCTCCTCCCGCTTTACCTGCCAAGGTGAGGCATGCACAGACTCCCCAGCAGGGCTGGTGTGCTAGGCAAACAGTGGGAGCTCTCATTATCAGGAGTGGGGAGTGCAGCCAGCAGGCAGACAGGAGGGCTGGCAGGAACTGCACACACTCCTCTGCCCCACAAGACCCAGAGGAACCAAGAGTCCTGCAGGATTTTCCTACCATTTCTGCAGATAATGGGTAGAGGAGAAGCTGGTGCCAGCTGCACGTCTGCTGTGCAGCCAGCACAAGATCTGTCACTGATGCTTTTAGCCAAGCACTAAATGCACAATCAGAAGCCACATCCATCTTGCTTTGACTCTTTTTTCCCCAACCACCTTGACAGCTGGGACTCCAAAGGAGAAATAACTTTGTCAGGCATTTCCACTCTTTGCTGCTTGCCTGGGAGGAGACAGTGTCACCAGTGAAGGTGAGACCAGCCTGCCTCTCTCATGGAGTGAGATATTTCCAGCTGGACATGTCCACAAAGTCATGGCTCTCCCCACTGCTGCCCACGCTGTCATTTCCCCGCAGTCCCTGTGAGCTCAGTGGGCAAGACGAGCAGTGGGTACCCAGCGAGAGCCAGTCACAGGAGCAGGTCGGGGTGCTGGCCCACCCCAGCTCCTGCCCAGGCTGCAGCTCTCAGGGTACCCCATCAAGGTGCCTGGCACAGGGTCCCATGACTGTAGCCCCCAGTGCAGCGAGCTGGCCGTGCCCCCGTGCCCGTGGCTCACACGATGCCGTTGCGCGTGGGGTGTGTCCGCACTCGGTAGATGATGACGGCAGTGGCCGGGCACAGCACCAGCGCTGTCATGATGAGGATGGTGGCCAGGATGATCAACACGATGACCCAGATATCCAGGATGTGCTTGGGGAGGTCGGTAGGACTCATGAGGTGAGGGAGGTCCATCCTGCAAGGAAAAGGCAGAGGGGTGATGGGGCAGCCCCCTCCATCCTTCCCCTAGCCAGAGTTCCCCACAGCCTCCTGGTGCTCTCTCCAGGGACACCCCTGTGGCCAGGTCCAGCTTTCACCTTGGGCTCCTTCGAGAGCCTTTGGTAAAGGCTCCTTCAATTACACGCAGGATTTACAGCATGCTTTAAAGGCACTGGAAAAAAGCCCAGGGAAAAACTTCCCTATTAATTGCTACTGTTTGTTATAGGAACTGATAAAGAGAAGCCACAACCGGGTGTCCCAGTGGTCACTCACCGGTCTATCATCACTTGGGGAAATGGTGGGGGTCAGCTCATCCAGGAGCCCCCTCGTTTCTGGGGAGCCTCGTGTGTGTCCCCCCCACCTACACCTCGTGCTGAGTCACGGAGTTATCCATCAGCTGAAGGGGACGGAGGGGGCGGCGAGCGGGGACCCCATCCCGTGGACGGCGGCTGTGCCCCCGTTCTGTCCCGGCACCTCGGGGGTGGGGGACACGATGCCGTGGGGGAGAGGCGGCAGCTGCCCGTGCCTTGCCCGTGCCCTTCTGTGCCCCGCTGTGCCCTGCCTGCCCTGTCTGTGCCCCGCTGTGCCCTGCCTGCCCTGTCTGTGCCCTGCCCGTGCCCTTCTGTGCCCTGCCCGTGCCCTGCCTGCCCTGCCTGTGCCCTTCCCGTCCGATCTGCCCGCATCCCCGTACCTGCGGCGCTGCCAGGCTCCAGCACCCCCTCCGAAGGCGGCTCCTGCTCCAGCTCCTGCGCGAAGCGCTGGCAGCGGCAGATCCCGCCGGGAGAGGAAGACTCCCGCCGGGCGAGAAAGGCTCCGCCTGGCCCCGCCCGGCCCGGCCCGGCCCGCGGGGGACGGCAGGGGAGGGGAAGAAGGGGAAGGGGATAGGAGGAAGGGGAAGGAAGGAAGGAAAGGCAAAGCACGGCAGGACGTTTTTTTCTACACCAGGATGAAACAAGGACACACTCCACCTCATCCCACCCACAATGGGGTTCCACTGGGGGAGTGCCTCTGGAGCTGAACCCGAAGGTCTCAGGGAGGGACCGTGGGGACAATTTCACTTCATAGTCCTTAACAAAGGGTCCTCCCTAGCCCGTCCCCCTCCTGCCTCAGCAGGGCTCACAGGCACCCACCTGCCCCCGAGGCCCAGGGCAAGAGCACCCAGAGCCTCCACAGCCGCCCGCAGTCCCCAGGGGCTCGGGCAGGGTGATCTACAGACACACGGGCAGGGAGGGGACAGACCTCAGCCCGCCGCCTGGGAAGGCTGTTTCTGCTGCCCAGCGGAATATTCCACTCCATTGGTGATGCTGAATGGCAAAAGCAAGATGGGGTGCTCCAGTTTTCCTTCTGGGACACAAGCTCAGTCACAGTGGGAGCCACACAGTGCAGCTTTCACTCCTGCCTTTTCCCAGGGAAACCTGTTGGGTTTCTGGTGGTGGAAAGCCCTACCACATGCTCCCAAGACAGCCCTGGCCTCCAGCTCTCCTGGACATGCAGCTCTGCCGGGAGCAGTGCACAGGCAGCCTCCTCCTCCCTGCCCTCCAGCTGCTGCAGGCGGATAAAAGAGTGGGGTTTTTATCGGAGCAGCGGCAGATCCTCATGGACAGGGGTTTCCTGTGGAGCTGCAAGCAGCGGGCAGAGAGCAGGGGCTGACTGCAGGCACTGTGTGGGGATGGATCCCGGGTGAGGGTGGGGGATTCACGCTGCCGGCCACACTGGTTCTGGTGCTCGTTTGGGCGCTCCAGCAGCACACCGGGAGGGGTTTGCTGATCCCAGCTGTGCCCTCTGCACACAGCAGAGCATCCGCAGACCTCGTGCTTTCCTGCTGATCCCACAGCACAGGAATGTTCATTCTTGTCAGGATCCTGTCTTAGTGGACATGAGACTGAGGAGAAACCACCTTTGGGGTGTGACAAGATCACCCTCTCTGCTCTGCTGTGCTCTGGTGAGACCCACCTGAGCTGTGCCCAGCTCTGGGCCCCAGCGTGAGAAGGACACGGAGCTGCTGGGGTGACTCCAGAGGAGCCCGGAGATGTTCCAAGGGCTGAGCTCCTCTGCTCGGGAGCCAGGCTGGGAAAACTGGAGAAGGCAAAGCTCGGGGAGACCTCAGAGCCCCTTGCAGTGCCTGAAGGGGCTCCAGGAGAGCTGGACAGGGACTGGGAACAAGGGCTCGGAGTGACGGGATAAGATGGAACTGCTTCCCACTGCCAGAGGGCAGGGACAGAGGGGATACTGGGGAGAAGTCCTTCTCTGGGAGGGTGGCGAGCACTGGCACGGACCACCCGCGGCAGTGTCCAAGGCCGGGCTGGAGGGGCCCGGCAGCCCCAGGACCAGGAAGGTGTCGCTGCCACGGCAGGGATGGCACTGGGCGACACTTGGTGACACTCGGCGGCACTGAGGGGCACTGAGGGGCCGGCCACGCCCCCTTGCTCGCCCCGCGGGCTCACGTGGTCAGGCAGGCGTGGTGACGTCAGCCGGAGGCGCGGTGGCGTCAGCCGGCGGCGGCGCGGCGGAGCCCGCCCTCGCCCAAGATGGCGTCGCTGCTGCAATCGGAGCGGGTGCTGTACCTGGTGCGCGGCGAGAAGGAGCTGCGGGCGCCGCTGCCGCAGCTGTACTTCTGCCGCTACTGCAGCGAGCTCCGCTCGCTCGAGTGCGTCTCGCACGAGGTAACGGCGGACCGGCCGCGCCGCACCCGCGCACCGGGTGGGACCGGGCGGGACGGTGCTCTCTCTGCGCGCAGCGATTGGGTCGCTCTCCTGCCACTCACTCGCTTTCTGCTTTGCTATTGGTTGTTGGCGCGGCTGGCGGGTGGGCGCAGCGCTGCACGGAGCGCGGTGATTGGCCGCGAGTGACGGATGGGGCGGTGCTGCGCGTTGATTGGCTCTGCGCGCCTGTCCGTCGGCGGAGCTCGGGCTGTGATTGGCTGGGGCGAGCGCACAGGGGTGGCTTCCCCTCATGGGGGACGAGCCCCCCTAAACAGCCCCGGCCGGGGGTGCGGGGACCCCCAAACCCCGGTGGGGCCCGACCGGGGCCCCGGGGACCCCTCACCCTCGGGGGACCCCTCACCCTCGGGGGACCCAACCCTTGTGTCAAGACCCACCCTCACCACCACACCCATGTCCATCGGGCCCGGCCGTGGAGGGGCAGGGACCCCCAGACCCAGGCCCCTCCTCGGTTTCTGCTGTGGACGGGTGTGTGGTTTTTGCAGCTACGATTTTTGCTCTGGAGGAGGGGTTTGGCTTCGTAAATTCTCGTATTAAAATCGCTGAGACTGGTTTTGCGGGAGCCCCGTTGAATGAAGAGATTGTGATAGATTTGAGAAGCCTCGAAAGAATGACTGTGCAGCGCAGATCTCAGAAAAGGCATCTTTAAAGAAACGTTAAGGCCTCTGAAGAGCGGATCTGTGACCTGGCTGTATCCGTCATGAATTCACTGTGCTGTGAGCAGTGCAGTCATTGTGCGTGGCCATGCTTAATAATCAGTTTGAATTCCTCTTCAGGAAGGGGGCCCCATTCTTGCTGCTGTTGTTTTAATTGACAAAATTCACTGTGACAGCAGAGAGATACAAAGCATCTTCTGAAATATGTATGTGTCTGACCAGTGTAACTGCGAGAACACAATAAATTCAGGTCTAAATAGAAAATAAAATGTTAAAACTTTGGTTCAAGCTGAAAAACTAGATTCTGGTAACTGCTAAAGGTCAACACCCAGCTGATCTTTTCCCATTTACAAGGCAGAGTAATTTAATCCATTGTGATTTAAGAAACCTTATCATTTATGTTATTGAAGATCAAAATCTGGCTGAGATGGGCTAAGGTTTTGCATACCAAAAAGCATCTCAAGCCTTCCCTGGCTTCACCCTGGTGTTGCAAGACTCAGATCCTGGTTGGATCATGTGGCAGTTTGGGGCTTTTTGGACAAAGGTGTGCCAGATAATGTGTGTGAGGTGGCTGTGTCTTTTTCAGGTTGACTCTCACTACTGCCCCAGCTGCCTGGAAAACATGCCTTCAGCTGAAGCCAAGCTGAAAAAGAACAGGTAAAGTTGCCTTTTTTGTTTTTTTTTTTTCATCAAGGCTCCCTATTTAAAACAGTCCCTTTCCATGTCTGTCCAAAACTCTTCAAAAATTACATGGCTGCTTAATGTGTTTGGGTCTGTTTAGGGGAATGAGTGTCTTTCCATGATGCACCATGTGCTGCTCATGACTTTTGGGGTTTTTTTAATGACCTGGGCTCGTAACACAGAGGTTTTTAGTATCACATTATGTTTCTCACTGCTGCTGCTCTTCTGCTGACTCTGACTCCCCGAAGTTCCTGTGACAGCCCGTTGTCCCTAGGAATTCAGATGTGCTGGTTTAGTGCTGATGTGTTGTTGGGAGCGTTTCTCTCAGCCTGGGACCCTTGTCAGAGCCCTGCCTTGTCGTTTGCAGGTGTGCCAACTGCTTTGACTGTCCCTGCTGCATGCACACCCTTTCCACACGGGCCACGAGCATCCCTGCGCCGCTGCCCGACGACCCGGCCAAGACCACCATGAAGAAAGCTTATTACCTGGCCTGTGGCTTCTGCCGCTGGACCTCCCGGGACGTGGGCATGGCAGACAAGTCTGTTGGTAAGGGACAGTCAAAAGATACAAAACTGAGCCACAGCATGAGCCTAGCTTGTGTTTTGAAGGTAACAGATGATCCAGTCAGTTGCAGACTTGATATCCGGCTAGGATTGGAGTTGTAGTTGGAAATTCACAGGAAAACTCTTTGTTGGTGAAGACTCCTCTGAAGAGCTGAGTTAGTGGAATGTGTGACCCACTTAAGCCTGTGTTCCTTGACTAGTGAGAAAACTGTCAAGCTGTTTTAGTCAGTGCACTCTCCCCCACAGCTGAGATCTTGTTTGTGTACTTTCACAGGCTTTGAAGTCGCTCAGTGTGACAGCATAAACACCTAATTTATTTTCCATCACTTTTGTTCACTTAGACTTATTCCAGAGTTGCTAGTCAGTGTTTGAATTTGGCTTTTCTCTTCACAAGAGCACTAGAACAAAGCTTTAACCTATTTTTTTGGTATGTGAGATGTACAGAAAATATCTGTCAGGTAGGGTTGAGTAGGCCAAGCAGATCCTCTGACTTCCAGTGTTGACGTGACTGAAAATGGAGCTGAGGATGCAGAGACAGCAACAGCCAGTAATAAGAGACACACATATAAACACATGTACCTGCTGCTGGAGTGACTCCTGGGTGCTGTCCTGAGTATCTCTCAAGCAACATTTGTTTAAAAACACAATGTAAAAGCTGTCAGAGCTCCTTCATTCCAAACCTGCCTGTGCAATGCTTTGAGAGGTGTAATTTGCACAGACATGAAATTAAACAATTGCAGTGGTAGGTGTAGCAAAAATAGGGAGTGCCATATTTTATAAATAACACAAGATAGTTGAGTGTTGGGTGTGATTTCTGTGTGGCACCTGGAAACCTCCTGTGGGTTTTGCTTTTTCTCTTCTCTTCTCTTCTCTTGTGCAGCGAGTGGTGGCTGGCAGGAGCCGGAGAATCCTCACACACAGAGGGTGAGTGAGTGGGAAAGCTGTGCTTGGGCTGAAATGCATCAGCCAGAAAGAGCTGTTAGAGCATCAGGCCCTCTCAATCACTTTTTCTGCATCTATATAATCCTTCAGATACCAGTTCCAGTTCCTAATCTGCACCTTGAATGGAGGGAAGGCCTCTTAGAGGCTCCCCTGAGGATATCACAGTATAAAATCTCCTTTTGAGAAGAAGCTCAGTTGAAACCAACCTATCTAATGGTGCTGTTAAGGTGAATGTGCTGCGTATGTATGTATGTGAAAACAAAGCTGTTTTCCAATCAAAAGTGTGTCTAGGATCTGGAAAACACAACTGCACCTTTAACACCCTTCCCTTTTACCCGTTAGGGCTCCACTCTGAATGTGACCAGCCTCGGGGAGGGGGGAAAAGATGCTAAAGATGCTGTTTGCTCTGCCAATCCAAATTGCTCAGAGTTGGCCACATGACATTACTCTGTGCAGTCATGGCAAATTCATGAATGAAGTCTCAGTTGCTGAATTTCAAAATGAGAATTGGACACTGCCCTCCAACACACATCATTCCCAAGGAAGGGTCATTTTGTCACCCACAGTGTGGGTTAGGACACATTAAGGTACACAGGCTTGCACAATACAGCTGGTACTAGGAACAGAATGAAACAAGCAGCAGGAACTGCAGCTAGTTCACAAGCAAATGCTGCAGCTGAGGTGACAGTGCTCCCTGTTCCTCCCTCCAGATTAACAAACTGGTTGAGTACTACCAGCAGCTGGCTCAGAAGGAGAAGATCGAGCGGGACAGGAGGAAGCTGGCGCGGCGCCGCAACTACGTTCCACTGGCCTTCTCGGTGAGCTGCCTGTGCCATCCTCTCAGAGCAGGAAAAGGGATCCACAGCAGCCTCAGCCTGGAAAATTAGATAGTTGGTAGCACGATAGGGCTGCCCAGCTTTGGCTAATTGAGGACAACATGGAGAAAATGAGGCTTTCTTTAGGGGTGAATACTTTTACACTCATTACTCTGTGTTACATTGCCGCTCTCTCTGATAGTCCTCCCCAGCAGTACCAGAAGGTTTATACTTGCCATGCCTAGGAATACGTTCTCCAGGAGTGAAGTTCAGTGCAACTGCAGCCACATTGCCAGTGGCAGCTATTTCTCAGGACAGTTCATCCCACACCTTAGTGACAGATAGATCAGCATTGTCTGACACTTCTCTGCATGAAATCTCTACTGAAGTTAACCTTAAGATGTGGTTGTGGCTTGAATGACTTGTTTATTGTACCTGGCAGGTAAATGCTCACTTTCTTTAGCTGGGTGACTGCATATGCTTGCTACTTCAATGAATTGTGCTTGCTCTGTGCCCTTGCTTGTGTCTTATGGCTGCATTTTTTGTCTCCGTTGCTACCTGCTGCTATTTTGGGGGCTCTCCACAGCAACACACTATACACGTAGTGGTAAGTCTTTTCACAGTTTCTGCTGGTGTTAAAGCTCTCATGGTACCAACTGAAGGGGAGTAACAGATCCTACACCGTGCCTCAGGGCCTCTGGCTTAAGTGTGCCTAGAACAAACACAGGTGAAGCCTAACTCTTCAGAGGGTGACATTTGTTACAAAAAATATTGTGTGTTAGTTTGGAAACAGGGCAGTGTCTTTGAGGAAGTAATGTACACTTGAAAAGCGGTCCTTCACCAAACTTGGCTGAAACACAGCTGTCTGCTTGGTCAAGGCCAGTGCCACTAACATTAATCATCTCATCCTTGAAAAATCACCAGTTAGGCTGATTGTCACATTTCTCATTTGGTGAGAATTCATGTTTTGAGCCCTGCCCAGAAGGAAGATGTCTGCCTCCAAGCACCCTGGGTGCAGCTCAGCTGTAGAAAGCTGAGGAGTAGCTCAGCTATTGCTAGTGAGAGAGACTTGTAGGTAATGAGGCTTGTAGGAGTTTGAACCTTTCAGCTGCTTTCAGTGCTACAGAGCCTTTCAGATGGATGCATAACCACATCAACCCACTTTTTTTGGCAGCTGAGCTCTCATTCTACACTACTTGACATGGAGTTGATCTGAAGAGAATATCCAGGGAAGATGTGTCAGTAGTGCAGGCTAGTGATTTGAGGAAGGAGCAAAAAGCTTTATTAGCAGTAGCCACACACATCTATCTTTCCCCATCTGCAGTACAGTGGGAATTGTTTTCTCCTTGCTAACAGTTTTAAGCAGAAAAATGAATCTTAGGAAGCATTGAATACCTTTTCCTTTTTGCTTTCCTTTGCTTGTACCCCCGTGCTTGTCATGCAGCTCAAAGGATGAGTTTGCAGCAGGTTTTTGTGTCCCATCAGAGGCAGACCTGAGGGTGACAGTTCCTTTTTTCCTTGTAGGATAAATACAGCCTTGGAACGAGGCTTCAGCGCCAGAGGCCCGGAGCTCCCATCAGTGCCCTCGCTGGACTCTCGTGAGTCTCAGGGTGTGGTTACCTTTGGGGGGAGCGTTGGAGGTGTAGGCAAGAGACGAGTAAAGTAGCTCTAGAAAGATGATAGGCAATTAGCAGATAGCATTGAGAGGAGATTTCTCCTTTTAAGCACTGGAGAGGTGTCAGATCCTCAGGTATCTGTCTGCAGCAGCTCCAGATGTTCTGCTTTCTCCCAAGAGGAGCAAGGGACTGCTCACACCCTTGTTGCAATTATTGTTGTGCAATCTCAGCTCTCGCTGCCTTCTGTGCTATAGTGCAGTTGCTGTCAGAGCACACATGCCCTATTTCATGACTGAGTTGCCCCTTATTTTGCTTTAGCCTGAAAGAAGGAGAAGACCAGAAAGAGATCAAGATTGAGCCAGCTGATGCAGTGGAAGAAGTGGAGCCTCTTCCTGAGGATTACTACACAAGACCAATCAATTTGACAGAAGGTAAAACCTTAGTATTCTGTCACTTTTTGGCCTTACATTTTGTAACATGGGCACTGTCTACAAGCTTGTGGCATTCCTCATGACCCAAGTTCCTGGTAATTTTTATGCTGGGATGAAATACTGGGAAATACTTGACTTTTTAAATGGTAACTTTGAATGCAGCCTCAGCTTCATGTTGTACATGGAAAGAAGTCATGTTGTACATGGCTTCAGAGCCAGAAGGCCTGAAGGGTTATTTAATTTTCTTGCTGGCCTTAATTTCTGTGTGTGTGAGGCATCAACTTTTGGACAGAGAAAAAAGCTGATGTCCTTTTTCAAATAATAGCAGGAAATAAGGAAATAGCAGCTGCTGGGGATCTGGAACCAGAAGTGGGCTGTTGAGTAACAATTGCGCATTGCTTTGACATCAGCTTGGAACAGCCTGTGTACACTTGCCAGTTCTTTAGCTGACTCATAAATTTAATCCACAAATACTGTAAATTGATCAGTAAGACCTGGTGTGAGCAGGATAAACCAGCAGGTACAGGGGTGATGTGGGCTTCCAGCTGAGGTAGCTCCAAGCGGAGCGGGTGATGTTGGTAGTTCTGCAGGCCTGCCAGTATCAGTTAATTCATGAAAGGTTTATGGAAAGGGGTAGGTCTTCTTGGTCTCCTTTTCTCATGAGGCTGTTGGCACTGTGAGTTTGATGCTGGGGAAGGAGACAGCTTTCCTGGTTCCTCACAGTGAGGGAAAAGGCTGCCAGGTGGCTCACTTGCCTTTTAGGTACTGAAACAGTGGGGAGCCTGCATTTTGAGAGAAACGCATGGGAGGTTTTGTCTGCTGGGAGTTTCTTGCTTTGGGAACTGTTTTCTCTAATTCTACGTGTGAGTCTGAGTTATGCAAACTCCTTGCTAAGAAGCTGTGTATTGCACTCATGCAGCATCCAGCTGTGAGGGTAACAAAGATGTGAAACTCATTTCTGTGGTGAGGGAAAGAACTATGTTCTAGATGGTTAGAAAGCTCTTGTTTCCATCCCAGCTCAGCTGTGAAGAAAGATGTGAGTCCCTTGTTTCTCCTGGTCTAGCACTGATGTTGCTCTCATGTTACTGTGCCCAGTCAGGGCAGCGCTTTATTCAGCTTTTGCCTTTCTATTTATTTCTAGAAATGTGATAGTTGCCAGTGCCTTCTGAATTACGGGGTGCAGAAATTAAGTGTCTTAGAGATGGTGGCAGGTCTCCACACAGTGCGAGGTGCATATGTAGAATCCAGTTTTGAGTTTCAGTTCCTGAGACATTTGTCTTGCTTTCTGTTGTGCTCCCAGTGACGACTCTGCGCCAGCGCCTGCTGCAGCCTGACTTCCAGCCCATCTGCGCTTCCCAGCTCTACCCACGTCACAAGCACCTCCTGATCAAACGCTCGCTGCGCTGCCGGGTAGGGAATTCAATCCAGAGAAGTGCCCTTTGCAGGCTCTCAGCACTTGGGTGCTGGGAAATGGGCTGTGTGTTTCTCTTTTAGAAGAAATGGCTCAAATGCTTCCAGCTGTTGAAAGTTCTCAGCCAAGTTAGTGGCAGCAGCACTAAGGGGGTGAGGGAGGCTGTGGTGTCTCTGGTGTGGTGACAGTTGTGAAAGGGGGACAGCACTGTCAAAGATGCATAGGGATACAAAGGTGGTTTGTGCTAGTGCCCTGCCTAGCCACGGAGCCAGAGAATACTGCCAGTGCACCAGGGCAGTTGAAATTAAAAAAAAAAAAAATTGCTGTTACTAAGGACAAAAGTCAACAAACAAAATATTAGGGAGAGGCAGTGCACAATACTGAAGATGTCACTAGAGTGAAGGCAGGAAGATGGTATTTCTGAGAAGCAAAGCAGAGATCTGTGAAGTGAAGATAGGCAAGAGTTAAACCCAGGTTCTGCTGTTGGCTTTCTGCATGGCCCTTACTACATTATTTGTTTTCTCAGTCATACAAGGATATTTATTTATCTAGTTCCTAAAGTAATAGAGCAATATTATTGTAAGTATTTAAGATGCAGGATGCTGAACAAGTGCAGAGTATTTTCTCAGAAATAAGTAATGTCAGACTGATGCTGTGTTTGAAGAGTAACCTATGAGGAGATCAGGACTTCTAGCTGCTTCATTTTTTAGTGGATTCTGGAGCATAGGTCAGAGGGCAGTTATTTGTGCTGCAGTCAGTGTCCAGGTGTTTTCAAGACAGGTTCCAAGTCTTGTGTTTCTGAGGTTGTGCTGGATATGACATTTTGGAGTATCAATAGCTGAGCACATTGATGGCTACATGCACCCCAGGTAGTCTGAACGTCATGGCTGGTGACACAGCACTTGCGGCTCTGATTCTTCAGTGTGTGACTGCACACTATCTTTGGTGCTGATTTAAATACCTTTCTTTCTAGAAATGTGAACATAACCTGAGCAAACCAGAATTCAATCCAACATCCATCAAATTCAAGATCCAGCTGGTTGCTGTGTAAGTAAGAAATGGGGACTGGGCACAACAACTCCCTGTTCATGCTTAGTTAATTCCTTCTATTTTAATTTCCTTTGACCTCTTGTGGGATTGTGTCATCCCTTAGGATGGTGTAATCACCTTTTTAAATATATTTAGCTTATCTGTAATAGGTTTGCTTGCTGATCTATTAAAGATTTCAGCAGTTTGACAAAAACACTGCATGCTGTGCCAGCCCCAGACTGCAGCAGGGTTTTGTAGGGTTAGGGTTATACAGCCAAAGGACACTTTCATTTTTCCTTTCATGAAAGCTCTAATAGCTTTACAGAGGGCAGCACAGTCCCTCACAGTCATTTGCTCTGTTATTTTGTAGCAACTACATCCCTGAAGTGAGAATCATGTCTATTCCCAACCTGCGCTACATGAAGGTCAGTAGCTTTTCCAGAAATGTCTTAGGCTGAGACATAGCCAGGGGCTGTGAATGTGGGATCTTTTTGGAAGATGACATGATGTGATGATTGTTCCCTGAGGGCTGCACTCACTCCATTTAGAGGGTGCAGGGCTTAAGGGAGTGGCCAGAGTAACACTGCATGTGCTTGTCACTGCAGCAGTAGATTGCTGTGCAGTGTGACATCATCACTTGCCAATGTCTGAAGAATAAAAGGTGTGGAATTGAGATCTCAGCTAGACTCCCAAAATACATATTTCTTATGTTAAGAGTTTTGCATGGCATTGGTGCCTTTCTTATGAATGAGGGGTGGTCACTGTCCATCCATTGAGAGGATGTGATGCAATTTTTGAATATGTTGATGAGTCAGAGAACCTGGAGGTGCTTACAGTAACAATGAATTCTAGCACAATTGCTTCTTCATTTGTGATTCCTGAATGTCCCCAGGAGAGCCAAGTCCTTCTGACTCTGACTAATCCTGTGGAGAACGTCACACATGTGACATTGCTGGAGTGTGAGGAGGGAGACCCTGATAACATCAACAGCACTGCCAAGGTATTGATTGTACCCTCCTGCTGGGTGAGCCCAAGCCTCTTCCAGGGTTTACCACTCCCATTTGTCCTTCCACAGGGCACACTTTTCATATGTCCTTCAACCCCTGCTGACTCTGCTGCATTTCCCTCCTTGGAGCTTAAATGACTGTCACAGATCTAAACAGAGGCTCATTAAGTATTTTGAAATTTTGGCTGTACCTTGATATCGAAAACCCAAGGGAGAAATTTATTATGTCACTGGCAAGGTGGTAATCAGGTGGTCCTGGAGCAGAGAAAAGCTGAGGATAAGTCACTTCTCTGTTAAACCACAGTGAAGCAGACCTCAGAAGAGGAGAAACCTCTCCTGCTTGCAGTGTAGCTGGTGATCAGTGCTGAAAGGCTTCTTTCTCTCCATGCTCTGTTTCAGGTGGCAGTTCCTCCCAAGGAGCTTATTCTGGCTGGCAAAGATGCTGCAGCAGAATATGATGAGCTGGCAGAGCCTCAAGACTTCCAGGATGACCCTGAGTGAGTGTCCTGTGGGGATCCTCTCCCTTAAAAACCTGGCTCTTTGAGTAACTCCCTCTCCTCCTGTGTGTCTTCAGTGTGGTTTGAGTTCCTCTGAGAGCATTGTTCCACTTGGAACAATGCTTTGAGAACTTGGCTGACCCAATGTTCCTGTGTGTTCTGCCTTGCAGCATAATTGCCTTTAGAAAAGCCAATAAGGTGGGAGTTTTCATCAAGGTCACCCCACAGAAAGAAGAGGGCGAAGTGACCGTGAGTTTCAAGATGAAGCACGAGTTCAAAAACCTCACTGCTCCCATCCGGCCCAACGAGGATGGTGACCACACCTCTGAGGTGATCTGGCTCACCCATCACGTGGAGCTCAGCCTCGGCCCCGTGCTCCCCTAGCGGCTCCCAGCGCTTGCTCCCGACGGCTGGATGGACTGGCACCCTGAGAAAGCACCTGCTGAAAGGCTCTGCCAGAGCTGCTCTGTGATGTGTGGGTGTGCCACGGGCCCGGCCAGCCGCCAGGAGGGGGCTGAGGCTGCCGTGGTTTGGGCTGGTTTGTTCTCTCTCCCCTTGTCGTAGTGCCCACTAACCACCACTCCACTTCCCCTCACTGCCACAGGCTAGAGTAACTTGCAGCACATCTTAGAGCACAGGAAAAGATCTCCCTCCAGGTTTGGCTTTATCAACAGATGGTTAGGGCTGAATTTGGATTTATCAGCAGAAAAGAACCCGTACTGGTTTTTTCTCCATGTCAGCCCACCAGCCTGATGTTACATACCCAATAATGAACAACTTCTCTTTCACACAGGGCAATGCCCTTCCCAAACTAACATTTTAAGGAGTGTCCCTGCCTTCTGCATTCTGGCAAGCTACTGCCAGCAGCATGATCTTTTCTTTTGGTTTTCTGCCCCCTCATAGGATACCTCAACTGTGGGAGCTGGGCCATAGAGCCCTACCCCTCTGGCACATGTAGCTTGCTTAGCCGAGGTGGCAGAGGTTTTTTCACAAAGGAGTTGATCAGTTTGCCTTTAAACTCTAAACATAGTGTACTGTAGTGTTCATGGATCTGACTGGCAACCAAGCCTGCCATCAGCCCGCTGCATCTCAGCTGGATGTGGCAGCAGGATGTGCTGCAAGCTGGGAATTCAGGTTCTGCTGCAGCTCTTGATTGAGGCAGGGGGGCTCCAGAGAGGCTCCCTGGCAGACCTCAGCTCAGTAAATGTTGTGTTGCTAGGGGTTGTAGCAATGAGGGTATGAAACCTGGAGAGTTAAGATTAGTTCTGGTAATTATAAAGTTACAGTGGTGATTTGGGTTCATAATCTTTGTTTTTCCAGTTAGCGCGGGTGGGAGGGAGGTGTAAAGGTGGAAACTCATTAGATGTTAACTACACACACTGTACCAGAAGGTCATTTACCCAGGGTATAATTTGGCTGCAGTCCAAGCTAAAATGGGTGATTAAGAGCTGTGTATCCAGGAGACTGAATTACTGAGAAGTGCATGGCTGGTGCAGGCAGGTGAGATGGCTCTTCCTGCAGAGCATTCCCACTTCAGAGGTTGACCTCTGTTAAACATTTCTGAGGGGCTTTGACATGCTGCTGTGCTGGGAAAGGCTTGGAATACCAGCCAGCCATGCTGTGTCATGATGCTTGTGCCATGGCTCTGCCAATCCTCTACATGGAGGGGCAGGATGAGGCTGCCTGCTGTCTGGGGGGTGCTGCAGCACCCCAAAACATCTCCCTTAGCGCAAGGAGCCTGCCGTGGTGTGCTGGGGGGGCTCACAGCCCTGGTCCTGCAGCGGCTCTCAAAGCAGCGAGGCATCACGTTTACAGCTCTGTGTAGGTGACACACAGATGTACAGCATGAGTTTGAGACTTGTAGTTAGTAGTTAATGTGTAGTGCTAGTGCCTGCTGTGGCTTTCCCTGTCCAGATAACAAAGCACTTCACCTCTGGCCACAACTTCTCGTGTTGAGTAGCCAAAACAGCTGCTGCACTTTGACACCACCACTAAAGACCTCCCAGGACCCAAGCCTGGAGCTGTGCCTGGGGCTGGGTTTGCTGCAGGCTGTGACCTGCGTCCTTCTCACTACAAACAGAAGGTGCACAGTAATGTTCTGAGCGCTCGGACGAGCTCGGAGCTCTTCTCCCCTCCCTGCGGGTGCTCTAGGCCCTAGGAAAGGTATTGGCGTGTCCCTGCCTCTGTCCCTGCTCCCCGACAGGCGCCTGTTGCCTTATGCTTGACGTCGTGTAGTGACCTTCAATAAACCACACGTGGCTCTCGGATGCTTTTTGCTGGCTCTTATTCCAAAACAATCATTATTTAACAACACAAAAGGCGGAGCTCCCCCGTCCTTTCCCAATGGTCTCGTCCCCGTGCTCCCCCCGCTCTCGTTGCCCGTGGTCTCGCCCGTTGAGCTGTGCCTGCAGCGCCCCCTGCCGCTGTGACGTCACTCCTCCCTCAGCCCGCCTTTTCCGTCACGGCGCTGCTGGAAGTGGCGTCACTTCCGGCCGCCGCCTCCCGGCAGCGGAGCGGAGCCGCCATGTCCACATCGCTGGGCTCCAACACCTACAACCGGCAGAACTGGGAGGATGCGGTGAGCGGGGCGGCCGCGAGGGGCCGGGACAGCCGGCAGCAGCGGGCCTGGGCCGGCGGGGCCCTGCTCCGCCGCGGGAGCGCGTGGGGCGGCAAGGCCGCGAGGCCAGCGGGGTGCGGGGAGGCGGCCCCGGGCCGGGACCTGCCCTGGGGACCCGCCAGCCTTCTCCGGGGACCCGCTGCCTTTCCTGGGGACCCGCCAGCCTTCCTGGGGACCTGCCGCCCTTCCTGGGGACCTGCCGCCTTTCCTGGGGACCTGCCGCCCTTCCTGGGGACCCGCTGCCTTCTCCGGGGACCCGCTGCCTTCTCTGGGGACTCGCTGCCTTCCTGGGGCCCCGCCACTCTCCCTGGGGATCGGCCACCCGCCCTGGGGCCCCGCCACCCTCCCTAGGGACCGGCCACCCGCGGCTGAGCCGCCCGGGAGGGCTCTGCGCGGTTCCCGGCCGGTCTCTCGTTGGGGCGCACAGGGAGCGGGCTGCCCGCCGCTCCGTCCCCCGCGCCGCGGTGCAGGGGCTGGAGCAGCTGCGGGCGCTGAGCTGGGCCCCGCGTGTGCCCCTGGCCGCGTCCCCTCGAGCTGAAGGCTCTCCCGGGTGCGCCCAGTGCAGGCAGTCGCTGCTGAGGGATAACGGGGGCGGTGTTGCCTGCTGCAGCTCAGGCACTGACAGGTTCAGATCTCAAGAATACGTTTTTTATTTGGTTATTCTATGTTTTACTCCAAGCTACAATAGCGACCAGATTATGATTCTGTAGTAATTTGGGCCTGGGTGGTGGCTTGCAGCTCTCCCAGTGTCTCTGGATCCATTTGCATTTTTTAATCTGTCTGATGAATTAAACTAGATCATTTTTCAGAGTGTGACTTGAATGCTGTTGTGATGGCAGAGCTTGTTACATTTCTGATTTTCTTCTTCCTCGGTTCAGGACTTCCCTATCCTGTGCCAGACGTGTCTTGGAGAAAATCCCTATATTCGGATGGTATGTGCCTGCTGGACCCTGCAGCCCTTCCCTCTCTCTGGTGGCCCTAAACCTGTGGGTTTGGGGACTGGAATAGGGCTGGGTGCAGGAGGAGGTGCTGAAGTGAGCACACGCTCCTGAACAGCTGGTTCTGTACAGCAGGATCTGGTTCCAGCTGTTGTTGGTGTGTAATATCACAGTTAGGGGTGTGATTTAAGAACAAATCAGTCACAAAGGAGAGCAGATGATCCAGCCCAGTGGCTGCGGTGCAGGAAATAGTAGAAAATGAAATTTTAGTATTGGCAAGCTCCAACATGGATAACTGTGATCTGCTCAAATTCTAATTAGTGCAGTTTCTAAAATGTGACAAACATGCACCCCTAAAATTAAGTTAAAGGTGTCTGATGAAGGTAGTTTAAACTCCTGTTTGTTTTCCTGCTCTGTGCAGGGTGAGTCAGTCCATGTTCTGTTGCTTTTCTCTGCCTGGCCTGGTTGCCCATGACCTACATTGACATTATCTCCTTCACATTCATGTTCCACAAATTTTCTGAGAGAGGTTGGGTTTCTTATGAAACATAACCCTAATGCTCCTATAGGGGATATCTCTAAACCTGTTTGTTTCCATGGGTTGTTTAATGTAACATCATCTTTCCTTAAAAAGAGCTGATAATGCTCCTTTTCATTCTCACCTTTCACCAGTACAGGAGGTGGGACTGAAAGTGCTCTGTTTTTAATGAAAGTTTCTCAACCAAAAATGTGTTGAGAATATTTAGGATTTATATTTTTTGTCCTGCTGACTTTCCAAGGTGCAAGCCAAATACATAGGGATGAGTGAGTCTAAATGCAGCATAATTATGAAAAAACCAACTGTGTTATCACATCAATGATATGTCTCATGTTTTACGTTGAGTTGGTGATATTTCATGCTTTTTTATTTTTTATATTTCAGACCAAAGAAAAATATGGAAAAGAATGCAAGGTATGTTTGTGTGTTTTGAAGAAAGATTGTCAAAATTGGTGCAGATCTAGGAGTAATCCATTTTAATGATGAAAAACCTGTCAGCTTCAGAAGAGTGCTTATCTGGGTTAACTTAAAATATTCATGTAATCAGTTTTTAGGTCGGTCTGCTGTGCTTGTTAGACAAAGTCAGTTGGTCCTAAAATAGTAAAATTATTGAGCAAATCCTGAGTCTGTGTAAACAAATCTTCATGTTTATGAGAATGAGGTTTTGCAAATACCGTTGTACTGTATGTGAAATTATTGCAGGATTTTAAATGATCCATGTTTTCTTGGGCGAGTTTGTTGTTTTTCTGAGAAGTACAAAATACCTGGAGTTTGGGTTTTACTGTGTGTGTTATTCATGCTATTTGTTGATTTGTGTTGGCTGTCCAAGAAATAAGCCACAATTATGTCTAAGAGCAAGAAATACTCAGGGAAATTAAAGGAGGTTTTTGCCCTTTTATCAGTTTTCATCTGAGGTAGAGAAAAGGTATAATTTGGAGTCTGTACATATTGAGATTGTATTGTGTACTCAAGGTGTACATGCAGAGGAAGCAAATGCATCATTCCATGAGATAACAGGGAACATCACTCCTCTGCACCAGAGCTCTCATAACCTCTTCCTCCTTCCAGCACAGGTTGCTGCTGTGCTGGTGCCTGATGCACCCATTGTTGTAATTCATCTCTAGAAGCTCCACACTGACATCACCTGGAATCAAAGAGAATTTATATATCTTTGAGTAGATCTGCACTTAAATAAATAAACAAATAAATAATTGCAATAAATAAAACGAAAAAGCGCAACCAAAAAAAACATTTTCCCTAAAATTTCTTCCTGTCAAAATAAAACCCCAAATAGAAACAAATATTTCCTGAGCTCTGAGTCTTAGCTTTAGGAAAAAAAAGTTGTGTTTATGGTTTGGAGAAGCTGGATGAGTTTGGAGAAGCTGGATGAGTTTGGAGTTTGTTTCCATGCCAGAAGCAGAGCAGTAGCTGTGGGCAGGGTGATCCCAGTGCCACCTTTGTGTCCCAGATTTGTGCCAGGCCGTTCACGGTGTTCCGCTGGTGCCCCGGCGTGCGGATGCGCTTCAAGAAGACAGAAGTGTGCCAGACCTGCAGCAAGCTGAAGAATGTCTGTCAGACCTGCCTGCTCGACCTGGAATATGGTGTGTACCCAAAAACCTCATCCAACACTGGGACCTGCCCTCTGAAATGGGAGCTGTGAAATCACTTTAAATGTGTGCATGTAATTGGCACTGGACAGTCTTTGAGAAGAACAGGTCATGTCTCTTCAGAGGTTCAAGGGCAGAGTGGTTTCCCTGAGCAGCAGATGATTTTCCTCTGGTGACTGCACACATTACAGAAATCACTGTTTCTGCTCTTTCAGCTTGTTCTTCATATGGATTGGTTGGGGTTTTTTTGTTTCATTTTAGGTTTGCCTATCCAAGTTCGGGATGCAGGACTCTCTCTTAAGGATGAAATGCCTAAATCTGATGTCAACAAAGAATACTACACCCAGAACATGGAGCGAGAGGTAAGTGTAGCCAGCCATGATCATGCTTTTTGGGTGGCTCTGTGTGGGGAGGAAAGGGCAGCAATGACCTAGCTTCTCTTAAAACCACTTGCTTGCTCTGATTTTGTGCATTAGTGTTCAGTGCTGATATACACATAATTATTTGTGTTCTGCCTGCTTTTAGATAGCCAATTCTGATGGCACTAGACCAGTTGGTGCACTAGGAAAAGCTACTTCTACCAGTGACATGCTGCTGAAGCTGGCCCGAACCACTCCATACTACAAACGCAACCGTCCTCACATCTGTTCCTTCTGGGTAAAAGGAGAGTGCAAGAGAGGAGAGGAGTGTCCCTACAGGTACAGACACAGCTTGGACAGTCCATCTCTTTACCACAGTCAGATGCAGCTTCCCTTGGAGATGCTGCAGTGGGCAGGAGACACTGCAGTGATTTGGGTCAGGGCAACACTTGCATCCAGTGCCAACAAATGAATCTCTGTGGCGGCAAGTTGGTTTGTGAGAAGTTGGCTGTGTCCTTTGCCAAAGCAGTGACTGCAGCTCTTCTCTTGTGTAGTCAATTTTTCCCCTTTGTGGTGTCAGTCCCCTCAAGTAGAGATCTTTGTATTTGAACAAGAGGCTGTTTCAAACCCAGCTCTTGTGTTTTGTAGTGCTGAGTGTTGAGCTGTCAGAAGCACCATTCATTCAGAACTTGACGCAGTCCTGGCTGCAGTTGAAGTGTTCAGAGCTTTGTTCCATTTTGGCATGTTGATGTGGACAGGGTTAAGGATATAATTGACCTGAGGGTTTCAGAAGGGAAACTGGCAGCTACAGTAATTTTAATCCATTCAGTCATCCCTGATGTTATAAAATGCTTTGTTTGCTGAACCTTAGACATGAGAAACCTACGGATCCAGATGATCCTCTGGCTGACCAGAACATCAAAGATCGTTACTATGGAATTAATGATCCTGTGGCTGACAAACTTCTGAAACGAGCATCAACCATGCCTCGTCTAGATCCTCCTGAAGACAAGACTATTACTACACTGTATGTTGGAGGGCTTGGAGATACCATCACTGAATCAGATCTCAGGTGTGTTGGTGAATTTGTATTGCCCTTGCCTTTTTGTTTGACACTTTGATAATGGCTCTTCAAATGAGGAACAAAAATAAATCTGGCTTTCAGGTTTTTTTAATGGGGAACTGGTTGGTGGGCAAGTGCAGAGG